TTCTCGGGGTCAAAATTTTTGTTGATATAATTCGAATCTACACTGATTAAAGAATGTCTCTACAAAATTTCAAGTGAAAATCTCAAGAACTCTTGAAGATATAGCCGATTTATTGTATCAGCATCAAGTGACGGCTGAAGGGCTTCTCAAACTTTAAACGCGTTTTTCTCTAAACATTTTTTTGCGAATGGCGGGCACGATAACTCAAAAACTAATAATCCAATCGGTTCCAAATTTTGCAACGTTTCTCTGGGAGTGTATAGCTCTCGTATGAACTAGGATAAAGCAAATCGGTGAAGATCTTCCTTATTTTTTAACTTGGTTTTTGGTAAAAAATCGGCGATTTTTCAAAAATATTTTTTCAAAGGTCCACCATTTTGTTAATTTTAGAGCGAAGTCAATAATCCTAGTTCATACGAGAGCCAGACATGTACTCTTTCTAACACCGTTGGAATTTTCGGATTCCGATGTTCCAGTGAGGAGTTATCATGCCCGCCATCAAAAATAAGGACTTTTCTTTAATTACAAAAAACAACAACAAAACAATAACAAAATTTTTTTGTAAATTATTTTTCTTCTCTTTTAAATCTTCAATTATATATGTGCAAAGTTACAAACCGTAACAAGCATTGGTATTGATTTACCAGCCCATTGAAAATCTTGAAAAAATAAAATCGAGAATGGGGGGGGGGTTCCCTTAACTAACTAGCCCGCGACCATTTAAAATATGGAAAATAAATCATGAGAAACCCACAAGGAGAGATGCAATGGCGTTTTACTCATGCAAGATTAAAAACTGAAATTATATACTAGCTGTATATGGGAAAGTACAAAAATCTTTTAAATTCCTTGAAACTGAGGTTTGCAAGGTTATAACTCGCGAAATATGAACATATTGCATATAATTTAAATTCATTTCTATAAAATGAAGTGTTCTTGTCAAAATCTTAAAATATTGGTAATAAATAATAAGTTGCGTGGAAGCTGTGATGGTGGTAATGTAAAAAAAATGGGTGAAAATGTGTTGAAGCCAACGAGTTTTTTTTTGTGTTCCTTCCCGATTTGTAACTAAACTACACAACGCACGCACGTGTGATCAGTGACAGAATACCCCATAGACAATATGGTTCTAATGTATGATTTTTTCATATAATCACTGCATCCACCCAAAACGGATGCTGACATTTTGAAGCCGGATTTTCGGTGTTTTTTTGAATTTTTCTTATAATTAGAATGCGCATCCAGATAATGGACTTAACTGATTATAGGATTGTACAACTCGTGATTTTGCTTCGTTTAGTGTATATCTCATGAATGTGCTCACGGTAGCTTCTTTGCAATTGGGTTCCAAAGACGAAAATTTGGTGCGTAAATTTTTATAAAAAAACATTTTTTTGAGTATAAAATTAAGAAAGTCCATTCAAATTCCGTGGAACCCCGCGTGATTTTAGTTTTTTTACGTGCCGGATCTAATGGGCCCATCCATGTTCAATTCCGCCGAATAAAACGGCGAATATAGGTACCTTGAATGTGGGAAAAACTGTAAAAACTTATTTTGACAAATTCGCGTATATAATCGCGATTTTCTTCGAATTGATTTCACATATCAATCATTTTTGTGTTGTCATATTCGCGAATCTGTGTGAAAATATGTCAAAAATACATCGATACGCGAATAATATGCGAATTTTATCAAAAATCGATTGTGGAGGCACATCCGCGGTTCTTAACCGATCCTTTTAAAATAGGTGTCCTTTTGTGTATTTTCATAGGAGATTACTGAAATCGGATGCGCATAAAAATCGTATGCACGTTGCGCCATTTTTAGTCATTTTTAGGGTTTTTGCTTAGTAAAGTGCATCGAGCAGTACACTTTGGCCGCTAAATGAAACCTCGAAAAATGCATAATTATTGGAAGAGATTAATTCAACTGATTTCAACGAATACGCGAACTGTATGCTTTTTAATGTTGATCATTTTCATATACTGTAACTGCAATATATTTCATTATTTTTAAAGCCAAAACTCTTAACAGAGGAATCCACCGATATTTAACAAACATCTCAAAAAATTTGCAGAAGAAATCGTCACGTGTTGTAGAAGATCTAGACTAAACCGTATTATCTCAACCATACCAAAAAAAAATCAAAAATTGAAAAAAAAACATTTTGTGGCAATTCAAAAATTAATTTATTTTATTTTCAGATATTTTCATGCTTTTATTTGTTTTTCGCGACTATTAAGGGGACACCCCCCATTCTCGGTGTCAAATTTTTTTTTGATTTTATTCGAATCTACTCTAATTCTAGAATGTTCCTACAAAATTTCAAGTGAAAATCTCAAGAACTCTTGAAGATATAGCCTATTTATTGTGTCAGCATCAAGTGACGGCTAAAGGGCTTCTCAAACTTTAAACGCGTTTTTCTCAAAACGAATGGCGGGCACGATAACTCAAAAACTAATAATCCAATCGGTTTCATTTTGACACGTTTCTCTGGGAGTGTGTAGCTCTCGTATGAACTAGGATAAAGCCAATCGGTGAAGATCTTCCTTATTTTTTAACTTAGTTTGTGGTAAAAAATAGGCGATTTTCCATAAAAAAATTTTCAAAGTTCCGCCATTTTGTTAATTGTTGTGCGAAGTCAATAATCCTAGTTCATACGAGAGCCAGACATGTCCTCTTTCTAACACAGTTGGAATTTTCGGATTCCGATGTTCCAGTGAGGAGTTATCATGCCCGCCATCGAAAATATGGACTTTTCTTTGAACCCAAAAAACAACAACAAAACAACAACAACAAATTTTGGTAAATTATTTTTCTTCCTTTTTAAATCTTCAAATATATATGTGCCAAGTTACAAACCTTAACAAGCATTGGTATTCATTTACCAGCCCATTTAAAATCTTAAAAATAAGAAATCGAGAATGGGGGGGGTTCCCTTAAACCGTATTTCAATGTGATTTGACAAGTATGCAAATAAACAAATAGAAATTCATTTAATTTATATTTGAAATACAAGATTTAAAATCGCTATAACTTTTGTGCGCAGCATCCGAATTTGTGAACGCGAACAGATTTAGAATCAGCATATTTTTCTTAACCTATGTACAAAAATCAGAAATGTTCTCGCAAAAAAAAATTTCAAATTTTTTTAATGGAATTTTAAAAGAATTTTGTAATTTCCCATATGTTTCCTATTCTGACCTATGGATACGCTCTTGATAAAAGAACGTTCTTTAAGATTAATCGTATGCAATGGTCAGCATGGCTCTGTATAACAGGGGCTCTCAGTGATACAACCCAGGCGGCATTGAACGTGATGCTAAATTTCCAGCCACTGGACCTTTAAGTCGGGTTAAAGGCAGCAAAGTATGTCTTAAAGCTATAATATACATCACAGAAAAATATCGTATTAAAAATGCATAGTTTTGTCAAATATCTTATTTGGCTAACGTAAAGCCATAATTATAAAATTCGTACGCATTTCAATTACACAAACCCAATTGTTATACCATTTATTTATATAAAAAAGTGAACAAATCATATGCTTATATAAAAAATAATTTATTATATTCCAAAAACAATTGTACAATTAATACTTTTTTTATTTGCCATTTGACTCATATGGGATTATTAATATAAAAGAACATAAATAAATATATAGATTTTAATAGTAAAATAAAATAAAACTTGTTTTAAAAGTCATTTTAAATAAAAAAAAACTAAAAACTAAAAACAGAATCCATTATTTAATTTCTTTTTTTTTTTTTGAAAAATCCAATTTTAGAAATAACAATATTTAATATCATGCCAAATGTGTGTGTGTGTGTGAAGTATTTTGAAAATAGTATAGAAAAAAACCCATGGTCTTTGTGAATATTTTTCTCAGAGATTAAAGAATTCTTTTAATAATAATTATTGTTATTATTTTGTTTTAATATCATATCTAAAGGTATATTACTATCATGCAATAACAATAGCCATGTTGTTATAAATAACTATTATTTTGTGTTTTTTATTTTTATTTTTATTTTTTTTTTTGTAATTATACATTATAATCTTTTTTATTTTTTATATATAAATATTTAGGAAATAACATGAAAAAAGTTACATTTCAACTTACAAATATTAATATTGGGAATATACTATATGCAGATATATATATATATAAACATTTTTCTTTGTTTTAATTTTTATTATTGGTAGTAAAATGTTTTTAGTTTTTTTTTCTTTTGATAAATCGTATTTTTTTGTTTGTTTGTCTGTTTGTATAAATCGTATAAACTGTTTGTTGCAAAAAACATTTATTAAACATTTAATAAATATGTATTTTCATTACAATTATGTATTGATTTTTGTATAGTATATATATTTTTTTATTTATTATTTCAAATAAATATTGTTGTATATATTTATTAATATGTATACAATTTGTTTTCTTATGTGTATATATAATTTTTTTTTTATTTAATACATAGTATTTATGTATAAATATATAGAAAAAATGTAACATGATTTTATATATATGTATGTATTTGCTTATATTTATATATTTATTTTTATTTTTTGTGTATAAAGTATATAATAAAAATAAAGTAATTCTCATAATGAGCCTGTCTGTGTCTTGTCACAAAAATGTTAGTAAAAATTAATAATAATAATAAAAACTAAAGAAACAAAAAAATAATAACAAAACAAAAATAAAATTAAAAAACGTATATTCTTAAATAACTACGTTGTTAATTGATTCATTTCTTTTTAGGTTTAGATCAGTTTTTAACAATTTCGTTTATTTTTTTGTTTTATATGAATTTTTCATGCTTATCTTTTTGGTTAGTTTTTTTTCCTTTTCTTTTTGTTTTTTGTCTATCTATTAAATTTGTTTAAAACTTCATAATAATACACATGTATATATATATATATATATATACGTACACAACAAGTTGAGGTCGCCGTTTTCGCTTGAATATTTTCCTTGGAAATTTTGTTTTTTTTTTCATTTCTTTATTAATTTTTCGGCGATACTGTTATAAGTTTGTGGGGCGTAACCGGTGATATCTGCAAAGGGGAAAAAGGGTAGAAAATTAATATTTGTTGTAAAAAAGAAAAACAAGTAAAAGAGTCGTAAGGGCAGGGCCGAGCCCTTTAAATACAAATAGTGGGGATACCATTTAATTAAATCAATTTACATATATGGGGTACCCCTATAGACACTTTCTAATGGAGGATGCATTTGAAAAAATGTCGTAAGATGAGATTGCTGAAAATACGACATTGGCTTTTGTATGAGGTGTATATCAAAACTTGGATCTACATTGAACAATGTCTTTAATTCTTACGAAACTGAATATCCAAATTATAGAACCTAAGGCATATAATACCCGAAGTTCTAATTATAGCTTCATCGATTTCAAAACATAAACCAGTAAGGAAAGTTCAAAATTTGGACGGGACCGACTATATGATACCCTTCACCACCAGTTTGGGTACTTACAAAGATGCTAATATATACAATATCCTATAGATAGAACAGAAATGCCATCTTTAGAGGTCCTTTGAAATGGAATCGGGTCTAAATTAAATGTGTGATCTACATAGATATTTGAATCTATTAAAAACCCCCATATGTGTTTTTTATAATCTCCACCATTTATTTATGAAAAATTCCATGTCAACCGGGGAGTTCTTTGGGTTCTTTGATGTACCATTTGTACGAAACCGACCAAAATTATGTATGTAAATTTGGACCTATTGAACTCAGTCGGACAAATAATGGGAGTTTGGTGTATCATTTACCTATAATCGGACGAAACTATATATGGGAGCTATATCTAAAACTGAACCGATTTCCACAAAACTTCGCATGCATCAATATGTACCTATTTCAGTGCGTTGTGCAAACCTTTGCCTTAATCGGACAAATATTGGGAGTGTGATGCACCATTTACATAAAATCGGAAGAAACTACATATGGGAGCTATATCTAAATCTGAACCGATTTCAACAAAACTTCACAGACATTAAATTGGACCAAATTCAGTACGCTGTGCCAAATTTTGTTTCGTTCGGACAAATATTAGGTGTTTGGTGCACCACTTAGACAAAATCGGATGAAACTATATATGGGGGCTAGCCAGAAACAATGGGCCAATATTAATAATTTTTAGTACAGAGATGTTCAATTCAATGAAATCACAAAATGCCAAATTACAGCTGATTTGATTGAAAACCGTATCCAAAATACCGAAATTTGACGGTGCCGTTATATGGGAGGTACCCTGAAACTTAAGTCAATATTAATCACTTTTTGGCAAGGAGTTGTGTTATACAATGAGAACCCAAAATACCAAATTACAGCCAATTTGATTAAAAAACGCGCAAAAATTCCCAAAACATCGTATTTTGGAGGTACCGTTATATGGAGGCTACCTTGAAACTTGGATGAATTTTAATAATTCTTGGCACGGAGATGCATTATACAATGAGAACACAAAATACCAAATTACAGCCAATTCGGTTCAAAAACATGTCCAAAATCTCCAAAATACTGAATGTTGGGGGTACCGTTATATGGGATCTACCCCGAAACTTGGGTCAATATAAAAATGAATTTTTTTTGGCATGGATATGTGTTATACAATGAGAACCCAAAATACCAAATTACAGCCAATTCGGTAGGAAAGTGGGTCCAAAATCCCCAAAATATCGAATATTGGGGGTACGGTTTTTTTAGTACGAATATTGAGGGGTACTGTTATATGGGGGCTACCCTCAAACTTGGGTTATTATTAATAATTTTTAGTACGGAATTGAGTTATACAATGAGAACCCAAATTACAGCCAAATCGGTTGGAAAAATGTGTCCAAAATCCTCAAAATTCAGAATATTAGGGGGTACCGTGTTATATGGAAGATACCCATTTGCAATACCAAACATCCTAGGATCACAAGCAATGTCTGTGTAAAATTTCAGAGCTCTATCTTAAATATTATGATTTCTATCGTGATTTCAACAGGCGGAAAGACAAAAATCGTTCGGCACCCTATTAACCTATATTTAAAGTTGTCTACCAAGTGTTTGTAACCTCTGGTAAAGCAAAATATTAATATGCAGACACTTAGGTTGAAATTTCGTCCAGCTCCATCGACATATCGAAATTAGAACCAGACCATTTAGGGGAGTTATGTTGAAATATAAATAAACATTTTTTTCGAAGAAGTTCTGAGGCCAACAATAACCTGGAATACCGAATTACAAATAAGCTAAAACTCTAGAAACATTTATGTGGTGACTATGTCAAAACATATTGCAAATTTTCTGCAATGATTTGTCGCCATCTAATAATCCGGAATTACAATTTTGGCTCAAACCTACAAAACACGGAATGGGGTAGCCAGATTTATATAAGCCTATACCATAACATATTCCGATATATAGAATTTTCAATACCATACTTGGATAAGTAGCAATGTATGTGAAAATTTTCAAACCTCCATCTATAATATGAGGCGGGACCCCTAGATTGAGTCTATGTGAAAACCCTCTAAAAACCGTGATTAATAAATTAAAACCGACAACAAATTGGTAATATTGCGGAATAGTTGTATGGCCTACGAAGTTCGCTATTTATTGAGGCATAAGATGGAAGACAGTGATATAAATTCCAATTATGGATAATAATTTTAAAATAATATGCACTAAGGTAGTAATTTTCGTGGCCCCTTAAAAAATATGAACTGTCTTGCATGAGATTATTAAGTTTGAAGTAGTTTATAGCGATTCCTTGTGGATCCCAATATGATTTCTATAGCGAAGCAAAAGCAAAAAAAGCAAAAGCCCTATAAAAATCCGCAAAAGCAAAAGCAGCATTAATAACCAAGCCATTTTCTTAAGGTGCGTTCTTATTAAAAGGAATTCCTTCCCAGATATAGTAGTTAACTGTGTCTCTATGAACGCACCAATTAAAATAATTAATTTGCCTTCTAAACACCATTCTCTACAATCTTTCTTTGGCATGTGCCAGTTAGCCACTAATTTTTCTTCTAGAGTTTCTATTTGTAACCCTTTTCCTCTCGATCACTGTCGTGCAATTTTAGCCTCCAATCTATAGAGAAATTTTATAACATTTACAAATATTTCCATTTAACTTACCCACAACGATCGACTGCCCATAAATGTTGACGAATCATCATCATCCTCCATTAGACTATGATGATGCCGGTGATGATGATGATGGTGGTGGTGATGATGGTGGTTGTGATGCTGTTGTTGATCCAAAAACAATAGCGTATCCTTGCTGCAAGTATTCACCGAATTGCGCAATACCGATGACAAAGTATCACTACATTCACGTAGACGATAATTTGATGCCGTCGAAAAGGAATGACGCAAATGCAACGAAGGGTGAGTTGTGTTATTTGCTCCGCCTGTGGAAGTACTACTACTGCTCGGATATATGGCATTTTCGACAGCCGAAACACTTGAACGACTACCATGCCATGGTTGGCGATACGTTTGAAAATGTCCCGCTAAGGCGGAGCTAATAATACTGCTGCTATTACTTTTTAAACTTGTCGAAAGTAAATGTTCTTTATCGTTGGGTGCCGAATTCGAAATGGCCTTGGATGTGGCAACTATGTTCGAAGATGAAAAGCCATTGGTTTTTGTTTGTAAGCCATCATCAGCGGTATTATCTTTAAGTTTGGCAGTTTCTGCCTGTTGTTGACCTTTGTTTAATGATTGTGTTGATGCCAGGGATGCAGAAGAAGAGGATGATGTTGAGGAATTTGAGCTGGCTATGGATTTATTGTTATTGTTGTTGTGATGTTTCTCAAAGCCATTTAATTTTTTAAGAGATAGTGGAGATTTAGATTTGATATCCTTGCCATGACCATTGGTATGTAAATAATTTGTAGCATTGTTGTTGGCATTGATATTTTCTTGAGCATTATCTGTCGAATGATTGCAGGGGTCTGTTTTGATTTCCTCATCCAATTTACAATCCTCATCCATGGTGAAAATTTCATTATTTTCTTCCGGTGTGAGATCTTTATTATCGGCCATAGCTTCAGTTAGATCGTTGATGTCGTGTATAACCTCAGCATCTGCATAATCCAAAAGTTCCTCCAAAGCATCCAAATTAGAGGCATTGCCGATTACTGTTTCTTCCAATGGTGTGGGGATTTCAGTAAATTCTGCAATTGGAAAAAACAAAGAGATTAATAGGGATTTCATATGAAGAATGAAGGCCTGTGGCTTCTATATAGACCAATTGGTCTTTATAAAGCCCTTGGCCTCTATACAGCCCAATTGGTCTTTATAAAGACCTGTGCTCTCTATACAGCCCAATTGATCGTTATAAAGACCTTTGGTCTCCATACAACCCTATTGGTCTTTATAAAGGCCTGTAGTCTCTATACAGACCAATTGGTCGTTATAAAGAACAGGGGTCTCTACACAGACCAATTGGTCTTTATAAAGACCCATGTCTCTATACAGACCAATTGGGTTTTACAAAGACCTTTGGTCCCTACACATACCAAGGGCCTCTATTCAGACCAATTGGTCGTTATAAAGAACAGGGGTCTCTTTACAGACCAGGGGTCTCTATACAGACCAATTGGTCTTTAAAAAAACTTGTGCTCTCTCTATGGACTAATTGATCCTTATAAAATATTTAATCTCTGTGTTAGACTCACCCTTTTCATCCTTTGCCGTAGATGCCGCAGTCGATGGTTTATTGCTCTGTATCTCAGGACTAAGATGTTTTTCCACAACAACCTCAATTTTCTCTTCCTTGGCACTCACTTCAGAAGGTTTGTCCACATTCGTTTCCGATTTAAGAGTCTCCTTGGATTTATTTAAAACTGATTGGACATTTGAGCATTGTGCCGTCGTTGTTGGTGGCGGTGCTATACGTGATACCCAATGATCACTGGAATTTGAACTAGAACCCGAACATTCAGCATTTTCAGATGTTCTCCTTTGATAGAATAACATATAAGCCTCATTATTAATGATTTCTTCGGGCATATTTTCATTGGGTACTTTGGTGACCCGTTGATCATCAAATTTATACCATTGACGATCATAGGGATTTTTACAGGCGGCAGTATAATGACCCGTTTCCAGTGTATCACCCTGATGATAACAGACGGCATAGAGGTCATAACGAGTTTCACGATTATCACGAGAACTCAATGTGGAAGACCGTGAATCTCCCGGCTTTGATTTACGCCAAGGACTTGGACGGGTTTGATGCTGTTGTGCAGCTGAACTTGCCGATAATGTTGCGGCTGTGGTTTCATGCACCTCTTTGGCTAAATGTGGTGACATATCAAAGGAATGCAATGGAAACTTAACCATTGTGGTTAGCTTGGCGGCATTTTGGCCCTTGCCATGATGTTGGCGGAAGCGTTTGAAATGTACAACTAAAATATCAGGTAATGACCATAAACCTAATGTCTTCACAACCGGTAAATATTCCTGGCAATGGGGACAACGCCAGGCATCTTCAGCACTCAATGTTTCAGCTTTGGTATAATGTTCCAGACATTGTTCCAAAGTTAGGGTGGCGGTGTCATTTGTTTTATTCGCCAATAGGCGGGGTACACTTTCATGTTCCACCACATGATCAGAGAGGTCGGAAAAATAAGCCTCTGGTTCTGGCCACTCAAGTAGTAATTTTATATGTGGTGGACCAGCTTCAGCTGATAACACGGACAAAGCCAAATCAATCATTTCCGTTAGTAGGGGATGTTCAACCTGCTCAATAAAGGTGTCAGGATCTGCCGAAGGATCTTGTAAACGTATTTGAAACATTTCTTTCAAGGGTGTTGAATAGGAAAATACTTCGGGTTTTAAAATGGCTGCCATTTCCTTCAATAGCTTCTTCTGCAATTCGGCATATGAACAATCACGTGGTATTTGTAAACAAAATGGAGCACCAAAACGTTCCAAGCTAACCACATCCTCCTTTGAGGAGTCTTCATTTTTCAACTTGGTTTTCTTGACATTTGCCACCAACACCAACAGATTTGCTGATTGTGGATTATTGGCAGTTGTTGTTGTTGAGGTTGTCGTTGTAGAATTGCCACCAACACCAGGAGCATTGGTATTTGTTGTTGCCTCATTATTGCTTTTATTGGTTATTTCCTCCTTTTCCAATGGCACCTCTATACAATAAATTGTCTCATTACCATCCAAGGTGTTAACCGGCTGTGAATCATAAAACACGCGCATAAATCCCTCCTTTTGCAAATCGACCAAGACCATTTGTTCCGTTCGTATTCCCGTATCTTTATGCAGTTGTTCCCTTAAGGCCACAATTGGTGAACCGGCAGTAACGGTTAGACCCATACGCATTTGCCTTGGCTGCTTTTGCAGATAGACAACGGTGGCAAAGATTGTCTGCTGTGTCAGCTGTGGCAGTTGTACCGATATGCAATGGAATGGATCGAATGTATTCGATTGTTTTTTACATCGCGGACAGGTGAGAGATGAACGAAATTGTGCTTGGAATACGGCTTGAACAAAGGAGTTGTTGCAGCGTATATGATTGGCTAATGTTTCGGCGGCAATTATTTCATCTGGACGGCCATAATTGTTCTGTGATGAAAGAGACATAAAGTAAATTAGTTAATATATAGATAGAATTAATTAAACAAGAATTAAAGCATACTTTTAGGCGCAAACAAAATTTATGGAAAAACAATAATAATTCTTTGTATTGAAAGCTAATAAATTGGTGTGAACATAAACCAATTGGTTTGTATAGAAACACCTGGTCTTTATACAAAAAATTGGTCTTTATAGAGACCCCTGGTCTTTATAAAGACCAATTGGTCTGTATAGAGACCCCTGATCTTTATAAAGACCAATTGGTCTGTATAGAGACCCCTGGTCGTTATAAAGACCGTAGGTATTTATATAGACCAATTGGTCTGTATGGAGACCATTGGTCTTTATATAGACCAATTGGTCTGTATAGAGACCGTAGGTCTTTATATGGAACAATTGGTCTGCATAGCGATCATATATTTTTATAAATACCAATTGGTCTGCATAGAGATTATGGGTCTTTATAAATACCAATTTCCAAAAATTCCCCATACCCTACGAACAAAACTTCGCCCAATCAATCTCCTCCCCATTGATGAGACGTAAAAACTTTGTGTCATATCAAATACATGTCCGTAAAGTATCACCATTTTATCTTGAAAACAGAGACAGACACAAAATTATCGCGAGCAAATTTGCTTTCGTTATTATTTTGCGCACAATAAAAAACAAAAAAAAACCTTACGTAAATTATTTTATTTTGATTGTTGTTGTTGCTATTTTTGTAAAATTCTGTGATATGGTCTGTAAATATATATTTTATTTTTACATTTACTTAATAAAAGATAAGATAGCGACATAAAAGACGCAAATTTTTAAGTACCCCTACGAAGTATTACAAGTGACACCCATTTTATGTTTACAAAATTATTGGAAAACTACAAAAACCCCTGAAGTTATGATATAATATTATTAACTATGATTACATTATCATGTAGTAAGCTGTTTTGATGTCGGCGTGTAATATAGCCGCAGACAACTAGACAAGCGGACAACTTGAGGAGCTACAGGTGGTGAATTACTCAACGGAAATGTCTGGAGAATTAATAATGGTGGTCAAGGTGTTTAAATAATTCTATAATTTGAAAAAAAAAATGCATATTGATGTAAACAGAAAAGAAGTAGATGTGTAAATATTGCAACTAATTAAAATAAACGTTTACTTTGTCATCCAGGCTAGCCCCGATTAAATTAATTTTGTGGGGCTCACTGTGCCTTTTTTATCCTCAAAGAAATAATCTATGCAAAATCGTCGATTTTATGTCGATATGTGGTATAGCATACTTAATTCAATATGCTATGCACCATTTACCTAAAATCGAATGAAAATTTATATGGGAGATATATTTAAATCTGAATCGATTTTCACGAAATTTAATACACATCATTCTAGACACAATTCAGTGCGCTATGCCAAATTTCGTGCAAATCGAAAGATATATAGGGACTTTGGTGCACCATTTACATAAAATCGGAAGAAAATATATATGGGAGATTTATTTAAATCTGATGCGATTTTCACGAAACTTAGCACACATCATTCTAGACTTAATTCAGTGTCCTAAGCCAAATTTCGTGCAAATCGAAAAATATATAGGGACTTTGGTGCACCATTTACATAAAATCGGCATAAAATATATATGGGAGATATATTTAAATCTGAATCGATTTTCAAGAAATTTAACACACATCATTCTAGACACAATTCAGTGCGCTATGCCAAATTTCGTGCAAATCGAAAGAAAAATAAGGACTTTGGTGCACCTTTTTACATAAAATCGGTGGAAAATATATATGGGAGCAATATCTAAATCTGAACAGATTTTCACGAACCTTAGCATACATCATTCTAAAAGTAAATCTTTGGTTATATCTATATCTAATCTGAACCGATTTTCAATAGGATTCGTCCTTGGGCCAAAGACCATTCAAATATTATTT